CTTCCTTGGTTCAACCGTAACCTAAGGCAAAACCCTAGACTTCCTCTCTGTATCTCTCTCTGTATTCCTCTCTATAACTCTCTGTTTTTTTTTCCACTACGTGAAATAAAGGTTCTGTCGTTTTAAACCCTAAGTTGACATATCATATAGTATTTATAGGCTTCAAATATCACCAAAACCTAATTCCTATACTAACCATAAGTCGGCTACAATGTGAGACATAAAACCCTAACTTACACAACGTAAAACAAATAAACTGTGGACACAAAACAATCCAATAATTAACTTAATTAAATAATTACCAATTTATCAAATAATATAATTAACCAATAAAATAAAACAAATAAATAATTTCAATTAATCAATTAATCTAAATAAGTCCAATGAACACAATTAGTCAAATAAGCACATAAGCACATAAGTCACTTAATTAAATAAGTTCCGGCAATAAAAATAAAAATAAAAAGTAAATTCCCATTTTATCCTTTTTAAAAGTAGGGGTATTATAGGTTTATTGATTTAAGCATGTATGATATGTATAAACCATGTATAGAAGGATTATATAATTTAGTAGTATACTAAATTCTAGTATTTGCACGTGTAGTGATATAGAACTCTTGTACAATTCCTATTGATTTGAATTGCTATATTTATGGTGGTATTAATTATATAATCTTATTGATAATAATTGTGATTATTTTAGAAGCTTATTGCTAAAATGTTAAGATTTAATGTATAAAGCTTGTTGTTGAGGCATGACTTAAATTGATAAGTTGATGGTATTGTTTTGCACATTATATCATGTTAAAGACTTGTCATTTATTATGCCATTCTAGACTTGGAACCCTAAGACATGGTTTGTATGGTTTCAAAATACTTGTGCATAGAAGGTGGTATATATGCCTTAATATTATGTATAAGTTTTGAACTTGATGTATTTTGGATTCTCTTGGGACATTGTTATAAGTGACATGGCTAGAGTTTGGCTCTAGTGCAGGAGGTATGAGTTCTCCCTAATTGAGATAGTGCGTACTAGGGTGGTCTTCCCAGTGGGTTAATGCCCGGAAAAACCATTGAGGTCTCGGCAGAATTCCGAGCTTAGATGTCCAAGGATTCCATTTTTTTTTTTTTTTGATTTCGCATTCAATTCCAAGTTGACAATCAATGTTTAAATTGTAACTTGTAATTTTGGTTTCATGCGATTTGATGTTGTTAAGTACATCTACTTTGATATGTGTTGCTAAGAGATATTTAAGTTAGCTTAAGATCATCCCTTAAAACACCTTGAACATAGACGTTAAGTGGAATGCTCCCTTGTATTCGTCTATATTGATCTTGCAATAATATTGAAACTTTAGGGTATACGCATATGCTTCTTCCTATGAGTAACTTGATTACTCACCCTAGTGGTTTGGGTTGTTTTTCAGGTAAGGAGACTATGTTCTTGGATGCTCATCACCCTTAGAGGCTTATGAGCAATTTGGAACATTTTTGTTAGTTAACATGCAAGTGCTTAGCATACTTAACTTTTGATGTTATATTTTTGCATACCATGGATGTATGGTATTTTTGAGGCTAATGTAGCTACCTTGATGTGTAATGATACCTAAGTACTTACTTTTGATATTATAAGCATGTATGTAAAGAGGCCAAGGGCCAAGCATGTTTACTTTAGTACTTGTGTTCATTTGGTACTAACTTTTGCTATAAAAATGTACTTTTACCAATTTTGGAGGTTTGGTGTATGAAAATCTTGTAATGAACATGTATGAGGCTAGGAGCCATTGTTTTACATTCAAATATGCATATGAAGTTTGTTGATATGTTCACATACTCAAATCTCATTGAAAATCACATTTAAACTTTCATTTTTGATCCATTACATGAGGGGATTTGAAGCATGGGTTGAATCTTTACACACTTGGCACATAGCAGGTCATACAGTAGCATTTCAAGGTGTTTCGGTCAACTAAAACTCTATTTCGGTCGACTGATGGCAATTGGAATCATCACATCTACTGTTCAGGGCCATTTCGGTCGACCGATGGCCTATTTTGGTCGACCGATGCTTCATTTCGGTCTACCGAACCAACCAACACTTATAAATAGTTTTCAGAAAAATTTCTGTCCAGTTTGGTTGACCGAAACTCTATTTCGGTCGACCGAAATAGCTTGAACTCGCACACAGCTTCCAGTTAGGTTTCAGCATTGATGATTTAACTTCAAAAGTCCATAACTTTTTCGTTTCTAATCCAAATGGGGTGATTCTTGAGCCTTAACTCAAGGATTTTGAGTCAGCTTTCCAATGGTACCAATCCCATCCTCAGATTCAAAACACAGTGAGGGATATTCATGTTTTAGTGAGGTAGGGTTAGTTTTCACCTAAACCGGAAAAGGGCATTTTGTGGGATTCTTGACCAATGTTCTTAGAACATCTTGGAATGTTGTAAAATAATTAGATTAGGTTGTATTCACCTTGTTTGACTTGTTTAGAGTTAATTTTCTCCTTTTATTTTTGAATTGACCGTTTTGTCCTTCATTATTGGATTTTGCCCGTTTTAACTCTAGTTTCCTCTTTTGCTCTCTTTAACTTCCGTGACCTCATGGAATGTCACATTGATGTATTAGGGATGGTTTTTATCTCAAAGGACTATGATTTCATCTTTTGTTTCTGCATTTCGAATCCGTTATCGAGTCAACTTTCGAGTTATCACTGACGCACCGGGTTAAAATACTTAAGCTGTCACAAATACAATAACTAAATTCCAATTAAGTCCTTTTTTAAAATTTCAATTAAGTCCTTTTAAAATTAGGGGTATTACAAAAACACCCTGTAGCTTTTAATCCAAAATACCCTAAATTTTCCCTTTATATAATAAGAGTATATTGGTAAAAAGAATATAAAAACTTTCATTCCCTTCCTCCCAATCAAACAAAAAAAAAGTATCGCTCTATTCATTCTTTCTACTATCTATTTCATTCAACCAAACAAAAAATGGGAAAGACGCCTTCCCTTCTCTAGAGATACCTCATTCATCCTTTCTCTTATCTTTTCCATTCACTCTTCCACTGCTCCAACCAAACGAAGCATAAGTTATTACCGCTCGTACCAATGGACAAGGGATCCTTTGGTATTTCCACCCCACCAAGAAAAAAACAATTGAACTACGTAGCATGGTTGTGTGTGTTTTTTAATTCCTAAACATGAAAGGTTATTCAAAAGTTAGGAATGACGAATTGATTTTGTTGAATATATAATATATTTTAAATTAAGAAATAAATACATATAAAATTAAAATTCAGGTTCGGATTTGGTTTAGGTTTAGGTTTCTGACATCTCAACTCAAGCACACTATTTAAATAAAATAGAGTAGTGATACTTGCACCAATTTGTTGCAGAAAGAAAATTACCTAACCGAATATTTCTGATTGGTTATTTATATATCATACAAGTAATTGGAGGGTCCCGCTCCCTTATTTGTTGTATGGATAATCAATTAAAAGAAGCAGGTCCGGCAATTAACTCAGAAATGTGATAAGTGTGCTAAGGTAGAATGTCATATATTAATGCTAAGGTGAAAAATAGTACCTAACTGAATATTTGTGATTGGTTCTTTATGCACAATACAAGTAAGTGGAAGCCCACCTCTTTATCACAAAACCAATTGGTGAGATATACTACCTCCTGAAAAAGTTGGTTGCTGATGTGGCAACTGAGTTCTGTAAGTTCTAGAGATGACAACGGGGGTGGTTTTGGGAGGGTGTATCCTACCCATTCCCCACAACTATTTAGAAACCCCCACCCCATCCCCGCCCAAAATCGCCTAAACAGAAGGCCTTTCCACCCCATCCCTGCCTCGTTTAACTTTTTACCCCCACGGGCACCCGCCCCTCCCAGTTTAGTTCCCGAATTTCTCTGCTTTTTTGTTAAATTTTTTTTCTTTCTCAAATACAATTATATAACTATTGAAAAAAATCATAAAAAATGGGCAATCAATAACTTAACATAAAATTTAAGGGTATGAGTGTTCTTAGCTTGTAGGGCTTTGCCGCTCTCGGTTGAGAAAGCAGCTAAGTATATAAACTAATATAATAAGGGTAATTTAGTAACTTACCTACCTAAACGGGGTGGGGCGATCTCCCACGTCCCAGCACAGGTTTTCATTAATAAAAATCATCTTAGCCTAAATAAGCTAAAGAGTAATGATACTTGCACCGATTTGTTGCACCGAATGTTTCTGATTGGTTATTTATACTTAGTACATATTAGTAGGGAAGTATCATTACTCTAAGGTAAATGGTCTCCCAAAATCGCTATAAACACTGCTATTGCCTTATTTTATAGTGTTTGGTTGTCGTAAAATATTTAGGAAAAAAAATATTTTTACACCTTATATATATACATATATATAATATTAATAATTATATATATAATATATAATTTCTCTGTCATATTTTGTAAAAATGAATACGGATAAGTAGTTGATAAACATAAATAATATTTTTCATATCTTTGCAAGTTCAACAAGGTAAATCTAATTGATTCAACAATTCGATTGAAAGGAAACAAGGCTGGCTTTATAATAGCGACACCAAAACCTACTCTTCTTTTTATTATTTCCCTAACCCGTGTTGGCAACTTCATTTTTATCCTTATTTATTTGTTTTGTTTAATGTTTTTTCTTTTTCAATACTTCAATATATACACACACACACACGGAGTATATATTTCCCGTGTCCTGTCAACTATTTATCTAATAACATCTTTATAGTTTTTGCAAGAAAAAAACACACATACACACATAGAGACACTATATCTAATAACATATTTATTGTTTTATACACGTATCTATAAATATAAACTAGTTGAATGACCAAGATTTTGGGAAGATACGAGTATGAGGACTTGTAATATTTTTTTGCATGACTCATGCGTAATAAATTAATGAAATTAATTTCAAAAAGATTGAGCATTGAGTGAAACAAAGGCACTAATACCAAAGTTAAATTGAAACCCATGTACATGGAAATTAATTTACTGCCACTCCCAAAATACAAAAATGAGGTATACAAGAAAATTAAAATCAATTAAAGAGAAGATAATACTTTAACTTGCATTCAACTGATTATGGTCTCAAAACAAAACCAAAACATAGTAATTTAAAACAAAAATTAAGCAGTAATCAAAGCTTGAGATTCAAATCGAGTCCCGGTGATTCGGCGTCCGATTTTTCTACTTTCACAGCACTAGTGTCACCTTCGATTGCCCTAGTCGCAGCAGAATGATTCAGACGAGCCATTGCTGAGGAAGAAGAGACTCCTCCAGCACCAAAAACACCATTACTATGTGATTGAGAGCTAGTGTCACCTAGGACACTCCTTAGCCTATCGTAGGATGGTTGTGGATTCATCACGGCCAACCTAGGCACCCCGTCGTGGCCAATATAACGATAACCGGGCCACGGTTTGTGAATCATGGAGTCCGGTCTGACCCCGAGTAATGGTGCGGATGATGATGATGATGATCTATTACCGTATGGGCCATAAAAAGGGACATGATGAGGGAAATTTGGGTAAGGATAATAGTGGTAGGGCTGGGGAGGGTGTCCGAAAGGCGGGACATCCATCCCATGCCCCCCATTCCTCCGTTTCGCGAAGGCTCGCTCTTGTTTATGAGCGTTTTGGTGCCCTCCTAGTGCTTGAGAAGTAGAGAACTCTCTTTTGCAGAAGTTGCATGTGAAAACCCTAGTCGTAGTCGATGACGGCTCCGGCCCCGGCAGGTTCTCCTCATCCCGTCTCGCCTCCTCGTCCGACGACTCGCTTGCTGGAGAAGAAGAACCACCCACGTTTGATGGGCTCAAAAGTTGTTTTTCTGGGTGGTTTGACACTACTACTTGACTTGTATGGTTGGACAGTTTCAGATCGAGTACAAGGCAAAATGGATTCGTTTCTTCGGAAACTTTTTCTTTCAGTTTCACATTCTTCTTCTTGTTGCAGTTTCCATCAGATCCTTCTGAGATGCTTGAGCCATCTGAAGGACACTGATCTTCCATGGCCATGATCACAATAACTTTTTAGGGTTGGTTAATGTACAAGAATGGTGGGGTGAGAGATGGTATATAGGTTGTTTAATTATATATATAGATAGATAGATAGAGAGAGAGAAAGAGAGAGAGAGTGTTAATGCTCAATCACTTATACATGGTAATAATATATCTTCCATGTATAATCATGGCATGGCGTTATATAAGCACATTGCTAATAAGATGGAGATCGAATTAAAGCTTGCTGTGATTGTGTGTGTTGATGAAGTTTACATGCAATAATTCCAAATATATATACTTGGACTTACTAGTTTTGTATCTCCACTAAATATACCATCTTTTTGATATGGAAATCAATTTAAACTTTGAACTAACATAATGCCACAATTCACACCTAGCCCCAACTGCTCAAGGGTTCCGATCTCTAAAGGGAATGGTGTGTAATTTTTTACTTGCCATAGTAAAAATATACAATAAAAAGGGAATGGTGTGTAATTTTTCACTTGCCATAGTAAAAATATAAAATAAAAAATTTGATGCACAATTACCTTATTTTCGTCAAAAAAAAAAAAAAAAAAGGTCTATGCATTCCGCACGTGATCATAAGGGGTTATTTGCAATTTTTTATAAATTGAGGATATATATATTTATATATATAAAGGGCTAAGTGCAAAAAAAATACCCTTGCTATGCAAAAAATGTGCAAGAAACACCCCACTAAAAATTAGGTGCATACAAATCCCTGTATTATCAACCTTTTGAGCAAATTACTTCCTTATCATCAATTTTAACCATTTTATATAAAAATCCTAAAATGCCCTTGTTGATATAAGAAGAAAAAAGAAGGAAAGAAAATCTCTCTTTTCCTTTCTCTCTAAAGACTACATTTTCATCACGTCTCTTTTGGTTTCAGCAACAACCAATTTGGTTTTAGCAACAACTAATTAACTCTCGTCGAAAAATCACTACTTTGATAAATAAATTTTTTATAAAAAAAACTCTGTAACATCACCGGAAAATTACTACTTTGATAAAAAAAAAAAAAAAAATTATGTATTTAGGTCATTTCTAAAGCAAATTGCTTAAAAATATATAAAATTTCAAGATGTACATCAGTGCCTGTGATTGGATGTTATCTTGGTTGAGCCACATTATCATTTGATACTTCATAGGCTCATAGCAGCATTTACTCCAAAAACCAAAAAAATTAAATTATATGAACATTGTTATTTATGTTTTGGTTTGGTTTTTGCATTTTGTAATCTCAACCCCAAGAGCTCAGTTTCGACTCTCCTAATCCCCCATTTATGCCCCCGCGACGAATCCCTTCTGCTGCACAAGTTCGTGACTTAAATCTTATCCGTGTCAAGGGGCTAATACGGGTGGGGGGTCCTCTAGTTAGAAGACCTTTTAATACATATATACATATTATATATAAAATAGAGAGAGATTTGTGCAGCATATTAATAGTAAAAGGGTTCAGTGCAGCAATTTGGCCTATCAAACTTGATCCATGAGTTTTTGAAGAGTTATCCACATAACAGTGTAAGAATAAAGACCATCTATTGTTATAATCATTACCCCTTACTTCATTAATCTATATAACTTGAAAGAAAAGGTTTGAAATCCATAAACATCTTTGATTAAACTACCAAGCTGTTTCCCTTATGGATTTGATTATATTGAAATTAGAAGATGCACCAAGAGCATGCATCATTGGTAGAGTAGTGGATTCAAATTATCGCCCTTTGATGCATCCCAATGATCCTTAAACACACACGCACACACATGTATGTATGCATATAGATTTGCAGTGGCAAAAGAACATATAATGATCTATCACAATGAAAACCAATATGGACAACTAAAGGTCAAGAAAAGCTATTAACACATAAAATGAAAAATGTACCAATGAATAAAGGTCATGCACATTATATATTGAAGCAGCAGTTGACATTAACAAAAGCCAATGGAGATCTCAAAATTCTCTAACCTCAAAATTCCTCCACTTTAATGGCATCACGTGGCATTTCATAAGCATCTTTGGACCTCGATTTCTTAACCCCGGCTGTGAACCACACTTTGTCAGACTTGTAGCTCTCGACAGTCACACTGGTGACTTTGACCCATACTAGGACCTTTGTCTTCATTCCTTCTATGCCAGTGAGCTTTCCCCTTGACAATGTCCCTTTGACGCGAGTGGCATACCTTACAACAGATGAGTCTTTGAAGCAGACCTCACAGGCAGAAGCCAAATACACGATCAGCTTGGTCTTTGACTCATCAAACTCATAACATACTATGTTCTGAGGAAAGAAGCCAGGAGGAAGGTTGTACTCGCGGAGGAGATCTGGCAAGGGTTTCAATGGCTTGCCTTCAGGAGGATAAAAGTAAAAGTGTAAGCTTCATTTACATTTTTAAGCCAGCAGTTCAAGATTGTGGAAAAGATATTTACATTACCACGCCCGACGTGAACATACATACATACCTACATATATATATAGTGGGTGTTTGTGTGTGCAATGAGCTGAGGCAACTATCTCAACCCGGGTGCAAGTAGCAAAAGATAATTATGATGCATGTGAGACAAGCAATTGTGTGACGTAGGAGGGGATGCAACATGCCTCTACTAAGCTATACTCATCCAATCACATTGCTCCAGCTTGTTTGTAGAGTGACTATTGGTTTACCATGAATGTCACTTCAATGACTAAGTGAATCCAAGAATGGTGACGATATTGATTATCAAGACCAAAGGACTCATGCCTGCCTTTTTGAAAAACTACAATATTCAAATTTCTAAAGTAACTACAGGTTTGAGATGAAAGGCAACACACACAGTAAGATTCTATAATAGTACAACAACTGTCCTACTACTAAGTACCAAGGAAACCTTCGGTTTTCTTCAAGCCCTTCTCGATTGAGAGGAATAAGGCCCTTGCGTCACTCGTCAACATTTTATACAATATACAAAATGAAGAAAAATTATGCAAAGCTCAACATTTTATACAATATACAAAATGAAGAAAAATTATGCGACATTTTTATGTAATTATTAATATATGACATATGCCTCAGAATTCAATGTTATGTGAACTGAAGAGAGCAAGCCGTCCTGGTACCTGGAAGAACATGGTAAAGAACATTCCAGGACTACACTAGTTATAACTTTAAATTCTTGAATATCAGAAAAGGATGAGGATATCAGCATATTAACTTGCAGAGACATTTGAAAAGGAAATACTGGAACAAACGGAAAAATAAAAATAAAAAAATTGAACAGATAGAAAAAAGAAGAACAGATTCTGCATAAATGTAGATGAAATCAAAGAATCACATTATTTAAACAGCATTCTCGAGTTATATTGGATTGCCTGACAACTTTCAGCCAAAAAAAAAAGCCTCAAAAACAAGGAAGTTATACAATCTATATAGAAAAATCAAGAGCCTGAAGTCCTTAAAGCATTTCCAAATCATTTAAGAAGGAAAAACTACATTATTATGATCTTACCTTTTAGCTTCTTAAATATCCATTTTGCCTTCTCTTCGACTGTGTTTGAGAACGTCTGGTATCACGACCACACTTCAGTTAAGATACAAATAATACACAAAATTTATCTACAACTACAGGTAACATGCCAAGCAAACATAATTTTGAATTTGATGCACAAGTTTGTAATGGGATGATCAACAAATCAGCAAGTAGAAATGAAATGTTAGTCGGTTTTACAAGAAGCTAGTGTGAAGCTTTTCCTGCAGTTGTCTGCTCATCTAATGTTTTGTCCTGCTTTAACATCTCATATATATATATATATATATATATATATATATATATATCCTCCGAAAAAGAAACAAATTCATGTCAAAGTTATGGAGAGATGGATTTCATGACTTGTAATTCAATGTATTTGAGAAGTGATCATTCAACTTTAAAGTACGGCCATAAAAATAAGAGGGGTAGCATGACACAATGATTAGTGCACGGGGCCAATTCCTAAAGCATATTGCATGATAATGTCAGTCTAAGCATCTCACATGCATCATGAAACCTGTCAGCCAATACAGAACTTCAAATTATCAATCAGGATAGCTGTCTTTTGCAGTGTAATCTGTTCTACCTCTAGCGAGTTAAATTGATAAAGAAGAAAGGTGCAATTATTAGAGTAATTTTATTATTATTATTATTATTATTTTGGAGAAAGAAAAGTAGAAGTGTTATAGTAATTTTTCTTGAGGTCATATATCCATTCAGTCTTGTAGACTAAAAAGTTTATAGTTATGAAAAATTCAAAAATAATTTAGCAACTCACTATTGTACTGCAAACGGTTTTTGCAGTAGTTTCATTGCATAAAACATGAAGCAAACTGCAAAATTGTAGGTTTGAGTCTTAACTGAAAATATGTAGACATAGAGACATACAATTGAATGCTTCATTTGGTGTTGCTATGAAACCGGCAGACAGAGAAAATAAAAGAAAAGAAAATGAAAATTGAAAGGAAACCCCTGAAATCCCCATGAGTTATGCAAGAGAAATTTTGCTCTTCTTTTCTTCTGTTTTATTGGCAAACAACTGACAAGGGGCCAACTAAAGCATGAAATCTCATACTTTTTTTAGATAAGTTGCAACCCAACTAAGAAAAGCAATCTTAAATGGATGATTTCTTGGTGTCACATATCAATATTTTATATATGTTTCCTGATCCCGTGGACCAAAATGTTCAAATGCTGGGAATGTTAAATATAAGGGTTACATTAATGTTCTGCCTTTTCTCTTTGTAACTAACAGGGCTTTACCTTAAGTTCTACAGAATTTTCAGATGAACAAGATCTGCAATTAACTGGTTGAAACAAATAAAACAAAATTATTAAAATACAAAAAAAAAAAAAAAAAAAAAATAGAGAAAAAAGAGTACTAGATTAATTATCAAAGCGCGCCTTGAGAACCAAATCAATCTGTATAATAGTACCTATGTTATTTCCATCATCAATTTAATTCTCATTTCCAATTAAACATAATACAGACCATTCTACTAAACACTTAAATGACAGCTTAATCTCCACAAATTTGAAAATAGAAATTAGAAACATTATGACAAGTTAATTAATGAAGACAAGCCAATATTGTTAAGAATTCAAGAAATTTCTCAAAACTCCATTGCATTCATATTAAATCACAGATTTCAACTTGCTTTCCAATTTGCCAATCAACCCTGCTCCACACACACATCATCTATGCATGTAATCAATTTACCATTTCAAACACAGAGCATTAAATCTTCCAATTCATCTAAATCTTTCAATCCACTAAAGAAATAAGAAAATCAGAGATTTGGGGAAAAGGAAACCCCATTAAACCCTTCATTTTCACCCAATTCCATTAAACCCACCCCAATATTTTCTTTTAAACTAAATTACTTTTGCATTTTGCGGAGAATATATCATATATGCAGATCATAGTTCACGCATTGCACTATATAATCTTGATATCCGATTAAATCACAATTAGATCAACTGGGTAAGCTTGTTAAATTAAACCCACATCATATACGTACAGTTGAAATATATATATATATAGAGAGAGAGAGAAAGAGAGTGCATACAGAGAGGTCTTGAGTGATATTGGAGATCTCTTCTTTGGCTTTCTTGGAAACCCAAAATGTACCAGTTTTCAGGCTCCCAACTTTGGTCAGAGCTTTCTCCATTTTTGAGTTCTTGTCTACTCTATTCAGTCCTCGCCCGGTCTTTTCCTCTCTCGTCTCACTTCTAGAGAGAGAAAGAGGTGAGGAGTCCGTAACTGAAAATTCTAATTTCACCCCTCATCTGTCATCTCTCACACTAAACAGTCACTCGTCAAGAATGCATGCCAGAGCGACAGAAAAGCGCCGCCACAAAAATAAAATAAAATACTCTTGTGTTGTACCCTCCCCCCCTTTTTTTTTAATGCTTACCTCTCATTATAATTGTCAATTGACTCCTCAGAATTTTATAATTTTACTAAACTCTTCTGTTATTGACGGTGGTAATTTTTTTATTTTCTTTCTTTCTTTCTTTTTGCTAATAAAATATTTGTTATCATTTTAGATATTAAAAAAGCAAAACTGACTTTTCATTAATTTTTTTGCCATTGACCTTGGTGAAAATTGTTTTCTCGATCAGCTTCCTTAATTACGGGGAGAATCTGTTATGTAAGCCACAATCTCATCAGAGGTGAGTAAGATTATGATATTAAAATGAGGTGTCCCCCTTCCCCTCCTCTCCCCCTAGAGGGCTCAGCACCTTATGAATGAGACTAATTCACCTTAAGGCAACACCCCGTAAGCCACATTTACCAGACAAGTCTAAGGTTTAACCTGACTATAATTAAAATTGTTGTTCTTGAGAGTTTTGAACTAGTGTAATGAAATTAAAACTGAAATTTTCATTGTTTTGAGAGTTACAAACCTAACAGACCTAATTTAGTATTCTCAAACATAAATTTATTTATTTATTTATTTATTTATTTATTTATTTATTTCTTATGTGAGAATAAATTTCTTAATGTCAGTGAAATATATATTCTTCAAAATATATTTTAAATTGCATGTATAGATGAAGATTAATATCTTGATTTTTTTTTTTTTCCAGCTGAAATGACTAGTCCAAGAACTCCCGGTTAGATAATTACATTACATAGTTCTTTTATGCTCTATTACGTATGAAAGAGAAAAATTGAATGAAGGGTGAGAAAATCGGATTGGTGAGAAATTTGTAGGAAAGAGATTGTGTATTTTTTTTTCTTTTTATTCGGTTAGATAGAAAAGAGGATAATAAGCTTATAATTTTATATATTAGTTAAGAGAAAAGGAAAGAGAAAGTTATAATTGTTTTTATTATTATATTCAATAATATTTATAATTTAGGATGATATTTAATATAAAACTTATTTAACAGTCCACTTGTCTTTTGTCTTCCCTAATTTATTGGGCGGACGAAAATTTACAAAGTATTCATCCTTTCTATTTTTCTTTCTTTTTTTGTATCATATCTACTGAATAAAGAAAGTTAGTTATTTTCTTCCTATTTTCTTTCTACATCTCTTCTTTCATTCCTACCGAATATAACATTTGAAATTTGCGACTCAGTGATGTAAAAAAAAATGTAATTGACTTGGTACACAAATTTGAGAAAATAGGTCAACTCTGAAAATATTTTGCTTAAAATGATTATAGTACCAAACAATGGCACCACATAAATTAAATAAATGCCTTCAAATCAAATGTTTCTCTTTTCCAATGGAGTAAAATTAAAAATTCCCTCTTGGTATCCAAATCATGTTTTGTTCAAGTGTCAATTAATTATATTCATGAAATGCAAGAAAAGTTGCGTTAGACTTGACATAGCAATCTAGATTTAATCCCAGATAGAAAAGTACCACCAAAATGATTAAAGAAACATCATTCTCTTTCCTATATATTTTATCTCGGAATGATATCATTGAAGACAACCTTCTTTATTTGAATATTATTCAATGACTGAGTTAAATTAAAAGGTCTAACTTTTTAAATAGGTGTGTTTGTGTTTGGATATTTTTTCTCTTAATTTATAAGAATAAAAGAAAAATAGATATTATTAAATAATTTAGTTGATAGAGTATCGCGTTCGAATTCTCCATGCCCCTACTTTGCCGGACAAAAAAATAAAAAAAAAACTCTTATAATTGATTGACCTGATTATTTTATTGAAAGATTCAATTAATTTTTTTTCATAGATTTATAAAATTGTTCCAGTTTAGTCCCAATAACCTTCATTAGAGGACTTTCTTCAAAATATCAGTAATTTAATTTGGACAAAATTTGCATATTTACAGATGAATAAAAAAATCAGAGAAGGTAATTACGAATAATTTGTGTATTTGTTATTGGACTACATTAATTGTTGGTGAGTGAGCTAAATGAGTAGGTATATTTTGTCTATTTAATTTAAACTTATCCTGAAAGTGAAGTTACCAAAGGTAGTTCAAAGCTTTAAACACAATTCAAATTAGAGATGAATTCAATAATTTTGATTGTAAGATAAATCACACAAAGAAAGCCGACAAAGAAAGCCGACCATTATACACATGTACCGGGTAGTAAAAATGACCGGAGATATATTATATAGAATTTGCATAAGACATGGTTCAAGTGAGGACACGTGTAGCAAAGAGATTAAATAAAAGAATGATCAGGATTGTATTGGTTGGATGGTGGTATTCAGTGGACCCCAAATGACACTATTATGATAAATAAAAGGATTTGAAGAAGGAGGGACTGAGACAGAAATTCTCTTTGGAAGTAATGTAACCAAAAATAAAATTTAAGGGGGCAATTTCATAATTAAAAAAATTTATACATAAAAAAATATAAGTTTTTTTTAAAGTTGAGAAGGTTGAGTCTTAATTGACTACGTCCATAATTTATAGGAAAATAATACTTGCACAAATTTGTTGCAGTGAATTATTTCATCTATTTTTTTTTTTTAATTGACTATTTGTACAACAAATAGGGGAGTAAGAACCTCTACTTATATTTATATAGATAACCCATCAAAAACATTAACATCCATTCATTTTATTATAATAATGTTATTTTATTTTATTATTATTATTATTATTTCTTTACCAAAGGGATTAGTGACACCAAAATCCCTTCAAATCTCAATAGGGACGTGAGTGTGTAAGTACTAACTTAAATAATAATAATATTTTAAAAGTGAAATATCACTAATATTATAACTTTAATAGTGAAATTTCACCATTAAAAAGTGAAAATTCATCATTTAAGTGGTGAATTTTTAAAGTAAATGTAACGAAATGTGGATCATAGAGTAATGCAGATTTGAGTGAACTATAGGGAATTTTAATCAGATATATATATATGATTGGCGAGGCAGGAATTTCTCTTAATATTATTAATCGACAAAAGTCATTTGATCCCACATGATGCCCTTTATTGAGAAGAATAGATTCCAGCTCACATCCAACAGACAACAGTCACATTCTTGTCTTCGTATTAATTGAACAATAATGTTGTCGGTCTTCCTTTCAATTGGACAATAGTGGAAAAAACAGTATTATTATCTGTGTCGTAAATTAAATGTTTCAAAATAAATATTTTATTTAAAAGTTAAAGTACTATTTATTAATATTATTTTTTAACATTACTAATAGAAGTTTTTCTTAATGAACTTATAAAAAAATAAACTATCACATTATGTAGATCTACTGTAACCATATTTTCTCGAATAAAATTATAAACATGAAGTTGATTACTTATTTATCAAATTTTTTTTACATGTAGATGATTGAGGAAATTAAGGTTATTAATTAAGAGAAAGAGGACTCAAAATATAGTTTTAAAAAACTTTTAAGTGAATTAGGTATTTATTTAATTATTCACACATAAAAATTGGTTGAAAATTATTGGGTTCTTGTTGAAGAAAAAGAGTAAAAGTTTTACCATAAATAATATTTTCCTACTTTTTCTTTCAATCTTATTGTGTTTTCGTGATACAATAATTGATGTTTGATATTTTTTATATTAAAACACCTCCTCTTAAAAAGTTAGATTTTCAAAAAGAAATGTTTACATTTATATATATATCTCTTTACAAAAGTGAAATTATACTAGTCTCTACAAATTATGTCCTCCCTCAACAATTATAATACGACTTATATGGATTGAATAAAATTCACATCTGGAAAGGTTTAAATTTCAATCCACATTGTTAGTGATGAAATTCGAGTTCAAATTGGAATTTGATTAATCTTAAATATAATTATATTTCTAAGTTTAAACTCATTATACATTTTTTTCCTCCCGAAGATCAACAAATTTATTAATGAATTCTTTTAGAACCTCCAACGAAGGAAGATTCGCAAAATCAAATATAATTGGCCGCCCACGAGGTGGCGCCATTGAAAAATAATAATAATAAAATTAAAGATAATTTTTTTTTTTGAACAAAATAATAGATATTAAAATTATATTTTGATTGATAATAATTTTATTTGTGACATTTACATCTATTTTCAATGAATTTTTAGGCATTATTGAAAATAAAATTATGCATATTTAAATAACACAATTATGTAAAAATAAAACAAATTCAATTGTGTAATTGTGTTCTAATGTATATATGATTCCCTCTTATGGTGTATATACTATTGAGAATTATGTAACAAATGAAATTAGTAAGACTCAACAAAACTAGATAATCCTTGCTTGCAATAATTTAAAAATTAATGACACATAACTAATGTGTTTTGGAAACTTAAATTATTGTTAGTTAGGTTCTCCAAATCAAAATATTAATTTGAAATTAGATTAAATCGAATAAATCAAGATTTGTGCACTTTTATAATGTGAGTCTTTACATTTTACAACAGGTATTCATGATTAAATTTCATATATCATATAAATTAAAAAAATAAAAGAGAAGTAGACAATTTATTTATTTTATGTTGGTGTTTTTCTGTACTTTCTTAGTTCCCGTTTGACATACGCTTTATTTTTGGCTAAAACAGAAACAGTACTTTCGCTATATGAGTGTTTTGTAAAAAAAAATCAAAAGCACGTTTGGGAAGTTTTGTTGTGAAAATGTCGGAAACAGAAACATACAAAACATGTTTGGTAGGTCACGCGTTTCTAATTTTAAAAACAAAACATGTTTGGTCACTCCAACTATTGCCAAAAAAAAAATAAAAAAGAAACAAAAAACATGTTTGGTTATCATTGTTTTTAATTTGTTTTTATAAATTTTAAATATATTTATAAATTTATATCTATATAAATGGTCATCATATTTCTAATAGATATGGTGAAATTTGAACACACAAATATATATATATATATATATATATATATATATAT